TCCATCAAAATACGCTCCTGTGAAAAGTGGCAGTCAAGGGGGAGAAGGAGCCGGCCCTGGGCATGGCTGTCCCTCCCCGCTTTGCCCTGTCTCAACAATGCATCTTTATGTTCTCCCTCCATCAGCCTTAGCTTTCTTCCAAAAGCAGCAGATCTTCTCAATACCAGCTCTTGCGCTTGCCTGAATTATCTCAACTCTTGTGGTGCTGCTGCTGAGGACTGACTGCTTTCATTGGGCCACCTCTGGCATCCAGCAGAGTCGCGTCTCGGGCATTGTGGGGCTGCCGAGATAGGAAGTTTAGATTTACTGCGCCGGGAAGATGGTGCAAGCTGAGGCTATAAAACAGGGAAGCTGCATGAAAAGTGGTGAAGAGGGTTCCAGGGGGAGGAATATGGGCAGTCCCACATGTTCGCTGGCCAGCAAAAAGCGTGGGCAGCTTCTGCCAGTGAGTTGTTAATTATCGCGGCCGCCGGTGAGCCGGCCGGGGCTGGGGACGGCAACCTGGGCTAGCCTGGGGGGTGGCTCGGTTGCAAGGCTTGCTGCGTCGGAAAGACGATCAGGTAACAGAGCAGTTAAAAAGCTTGAAGTCGGGCGTGCAGAGCTGTGAATGAACCGAGGAGAGCGTTCCTTTTCTTGTGGTTAAGCATCAAACGTATTCCTGTAAAGGTGCGGGTCCGTGTCCTGCTGCCCGCCGGGAGCCTTGAGCGAGGGGACAGGGTGAGGTTTGGCAGAGCGCTGCCGAAGGTCACGTTAAGGTCTGTAAACAGAGTGTTTAACTTCTAACAGGAAGGTGTTGGCTTCCCAGTGTTGACACAAGCCTGTCCGAGAGGCCCCTCCTAGGGAGGCCGGAGTTGCTGTTGTCCCAGTTGGGGAAGAGGAGCTGCGGAGAGGCTGCTTGAGGTCAGGAAATGACCCCTCGGTCTCGCTCCTGTGCGGATGGAAAGGAGATTCCCCTCTGCCCTCCCCTGGTAGCGCGGCGGCCAGCACACCTTCACCGTGGGTGCTTTCGGGTCGGCACAGCCCTTCAAGAACAGCATCGCTGTCGCAGCGCAGTGGAGGAACCCGGCAGTGACCGGGGCTCTGCATTCCTTCGCCATGACTCTGTCCCTCCAAACACTCGGTGTCCAAAACAGCGCAGTTTGGAGCATGTCGTCACTCTACACAAATGCAGTTTTTTTTGCTTCCCGCTGATGGCTCAGGCGTGGTTAGGGGAGATGGTCTGAGCTAATGACACTGCTGTACAAAGTTCGAGTTATCTTCTGGGAGGAAGGACAGCCGAGGGAAAGCGACCAGCAGAGGAAACGGCCGCATAAACTTCCTCTCCTGAATTCCTGTCCGTGCTCAGAGCACTCCTCTCGGGAGACAGGCCTTTGCCTTGCTGACCTGCCTGTTGGAGGAGGCTGCGGCCAGAGGGGTTTGCACATCCTATTGCCATGTCCATGTTGAGAGGTGCTTCTGGAGAAGGGTCTCTGCTCTCGGTGGGTTTGCTTTTCGGAGGTGTGGGGGAGATCCCTCCTGTGGGATCAGACCCTGGCTTATAACTGCTCTGCAGTGTTGTCCCTCTCCTTGCTCCAGGTTCTCAGCTCTTCAGCTGGACGCTTTAGGGGTAGGTGGCTCCTCTGCCTGTGTCTTGTTCCTCGAGCCACCAGGTCCTTGCACCCCACGTTCCGCTTCCTTTGATTGCCAGATTAGCCTTTTTGGTCCCTTGAGTACAAACTCCCTGGTTTTCCATACCATAAGTATCTCCGTGAAATTAAGCCAAATTGTGGACCTCTTTATTCTGGTCTCCAGTTGCTGACAGGGTAGGTGAGGAGGTGGCGTGCCAACGGGGGAGCTGAAGGTGAAGGACGGCTGCTGGTTCATGCACAGCCCAGCCTGCGGACTGCTCTTGTACTGCCACGTGTGCCCGTACCCGCTGCTCTGGGAAGCTCACAGATGAACTCCAAATGTTAAACAATCAAAGGGGTTTGTATCCGAGGCATTCAAGCCCATGGTTCCCCACTAAGATAAGAAACAACAAAAATCCTTTTAAAACATTTAATGTTTTCAGCCGTTTCCTACAGTTCCCTTCTCTCCCACGTTGCTCCTAGTTCCTGTGGCACCAGAATAGATCCTCTTTGTGGAAATGCTCTTCCTCTCCGCTGTTGTTTCTGGAAGACGCCAGAACAGCCTTCCAGTCACAAAGCATGTTTCTGCCGGGGCTGTGGATTGTGTGAGGGGAGGAAGTGGAGGAGCTCCAAGCCAAGGGCAGCAGTGGCAGGGACCTGCTGACTCCGCTTTTGGCCCGAGCGGGATGGCAGGATATCTGCTCTTTGTGCACCCACACAGCAAGGCAGGGAGCAGATTTTACTTCTGTTTCCTTTGCGACGTCTCTAAGGTCTGGCCTCTGCTCCCTGACCACGCTGCTCGTCCCTTGTCCAGAGCTTCTTCGCATCCTGCCAGCCTTTTCCTTCTGAAGGCGTCTGTCTGTCTGTCTGCAGAGGTGTGCTGAGAACGGGGTCTCCTGGGCCCGGGGCTCTGACCGCCCTGGCCCACGTTTCTGGGCGATCACCCTCGGTGTGAGGAAGGAGAGGAAAGCGTTTGCCTCTCCTCCCTCCTCTGGGGATGCCAAAGTTTTAACTTCTTTTGATTTCACTTCTCCCCTTCATTTGCAGTTTTCTGGCAGCTCCCAGTCGTAGCAATAGTCCCTTGTAGCTGTTCCTGGTTTTTCTCACACCGAGTAGCATCCTTTTGTTGTGCTTTTTGTTAACTGGGCTGTAAATGCTGCAGGGTAAGGATTCTGGGGGAAGAGGAGGAGTCCCGCAGGACATGGTCCTCTCGTGAGCTGCCATCGCAGCCCAAGTCAGCATCACCGGTCCTCTGGGCGTTGCGCCTCTCTGCAAAGGGGCCGGGCAGCTTGTGTGGTTCCTACTGAACAGCAACAAGACCGTGTACCAAAGCAGCATTTTTCCTTTGCAGATGGAGACTTTTTTACGATTGCCTCGTGCAGCACGCGTAGCAAGTTGTTCTTGTTAGATGTGGGGTGGAAGAAGCAGTGTCCCCTCCCCAGCAGCCTGCAGTCAGCGCGCACACAGCAGGGCTGGGGATGGGAACTGGTGAAAAGCAGAGGAGAGCCAGCGGTGTGCTGCCTGCGAGCTCCCAGCGTTGTACGGGGTGGCCGCGAGGTGCAAAGAAAAGATGCAGTTTGCAGCATTGTCTTGGATCCTTTGCTGCCGTATGCAGAGCTGCAGAAATAAGCTTGGTCCCTGGCGCTTCAGAGAGCAGAATGTACTTAAAAAAAAAAAAAAGAAAAAAAAAAAAAAGAGGGGGGGGAATTGCTGCATCATAAATACCAATTTGCTGCAAACTTTCAGCTTCCCGGCATTGCAGAGGCGTTTTCTGCTTTGCATATGATGGTTCCTGTTGCTTCTATGGTCTGTTGTGGAAAGGAGTTTGTGGGAAGACTGTGTTTCTAGCAGAGGGTGCCACTGCTCTGCCTGCTTCCTTCAGCCCAAACTCTTGCAGACTTCTACCAGTCATTCGTTGCTGTTGACATGCAAACCAGGTTCCATGAGAAGCCCTTACTGTGACAATTGCAATGAGTACCTAGGTAAAAATAATATATTAAGAGTTTAATGAAATCTCCCCAGTCGGCGTTGTCGGCCGGCAGCCCGTCCACTCGGCTCTTTGAACCGTGCTGCTCTCGTCTGGAGGAGCAGGCGGGCGCTGGGCAGCCCTCACGCCAAACACGGCAGACGTTCCTCGGCCGCTGTTGCTGCAGCGCGTTGTCTTGCTTGTTCTTCTCGAGTTACCCCGTGAATTGCTAGCGCTCCCCGAGATTTATTTTTTTTTTTGGTGCAGTCAAAAGCAGAGAGTTTTTTTAATTCTTTCTTAGGGTTCACATGGAATTAGATCCTTTTAGATCAATTTATCATTAGATAATAAGCTGTAGAAATGTTCTTTTTGGTGTTGGTCACTTTCTCCTTTTTGAGTTAGAGAAATTCGTAGAGCCTTTCCCTCTGCAGGATCCAAATTCTGGCTCTCTATTTTTATTCTATTTGATCCCAGGTATCTGGAAATCAGTAAGGATTCTTATCAGCTTCTTGAGCACTGGCCACCAGGACTTTTGTGTGGACATCTTATTCTTGCTCTCAAAAATAAGAATTTTTAAACAGCTCCCTAGAAACCTTTCTGGGCTTGTAAACAGGTCCAGCACCTCTGTTCTCAGCCAGACCTGATTTCATGGTGTTCTAATGTAGCTGCTGGAAATACCAGGGAATGAGTCTTTGCAGCTGGACTCTTTCTGCCACATGCATTTTTCTGCCCTTACATCCTGTCCACTTGCTTTTGAGCCCTTCTGATACAGCAGTCGCCTTTGAAACAGCTTCCAGCATCTGAAACTCTCCTTGGTGTGTCCTACATCCAAATACAAATCATGGCCCAAAAGCTACGCTTTTTTCTTTTCCGCCTCTTAAATTTCTCTCCCCTTTCTCTCTCTTTTATTGACATGTGTAATTGCACTGAGCTTTGAATTGTTTGGAGACAGTGTTTGCATGAAGAATGCTGTAGAGAGCAGTCCCGTTTGTTTTGCTGTGCTAACTGAAGCTCTGGCACATTGTGCAGATTATACTGTGGATTGGCCTGGGAATACTGGTCATTAGTACGTATACCACCTTGTCTGCCACGGAGGACGCCCCGGTGAAGACAGAAGTGGTGGGCTTGGAGCACCTGGACGGAGAGCAGAACCGAATTGACCAGGATTCAGTCAAAATCCCAGGTATGTGTCCGCTTGAGTTGTGCTTCCCAGCCCTGCTCCCAGCTCCACCTCTTTAAAAAAACAGATTTTATTTTTAATTTTTTTTAAAGTGGGGGGGAAGCAGGGTCATTTCCAGGCAGCTCCGTGCATCTTCGCAGCATCCTGGGGACTCTTCCTAAGAAAGGCTGCGTTTTTGCCTTCTGGAAAAGCCTGGACTGAGCTCCGCTGGTACCGTGTGGGAGTTATTCTTTTGGGAAGGGAAAGGAAAGGAAAGGTGGGATGTGGGGGCTGGAGTCCCCTGGAAGGACAGAGCACGGTCTCCCCGTTCGGGGTAATAAATGCAGCTCTGTGAGCACAGCCCAGCGCTGGCTCCGCGCTGGCCACCTGTACGAGGGGTGTGAGTGGCCAAACAGGGCTGCTTTCACCATTTCTGCCAGCGCATTGTCCACGCTTCCAATAACAAGCCATTCATTGCACTCAAAGGTATGTAAATTTATGGGCACTGACTTTTTTTGGTTGTGAGGATATAAATTTGGATTGGGTTTTAGCTCTGACAAAGCCTGTGATTATGCCTCAGCTTTGTTTACTGGTTCACATTATTTATTATTTGTTTACTGTGGCCGTTGATAGAATTACGGCCGCTCCCTCCCTTCCCCAGCTGCAGGCTTGCCTTGCAAGGCCATCGCTAGCAGGTGTCGCATGACCCTGCGCTGCCCCTCATCTGTGGCTGTGTCCTGTTTCTTTATTTTATTTTTCTTTGGTTCTGCTCGTGCTTTTTTTTTTTTTCCCTTCTTTTTTTTTTTTTTTTTTTTTTTTTTTTGGGCGTTTTCAATCCTTGAAACGTATAAGCTAAGTGTTCGATATCTCTGCTGACTTAAGAAGGCATTATACTATTCTTGGGGACACTTGCCCCTTTTCTTCTTGAATACTAAAATGATTTGGTTGATGTTTTTCTATGCTTAGTATTCCATTGGGTGCCCGGGCCCCCGGGGTGCTCCCGCCGATAACATTCACTCCTGGGTTGCTCCGTCCCTGGCAGCGGTGGGGTTTTATGCGCGCGTGCTCATGGTTCACCCAAGGCGTGCATGCCTTCTCAGGCACTAGGAAACCCGTGAACTCTGAGCAAAAGATGCTCTCAATCCCTTAATCGAGCACACTCAGCAGGGCTGGGAGGAGGGATGCAATTGAATTCTTCCGTCTTGGTTAATTTTGGAGCAGTAATGGCCAAAGAACAGCTGCTCGTTTCAGGAGGAGCCGCTAATGACACGTGTTCTTGTGACTGGGAAAATAAAAAAAGTCCCATAAAAGATGGTGTCCGCTGGAGTTTGCTAAATCTCTTCTCCACTTCTTCTCCGCGTGAGCCGGGGCGGCGGAGCAGGACGCCTGCGTCTAATCATCGCGGAGCGCAGCGGCTCATCGGTCGCCCTGCCGTACCCACCGCCTGTGCCCAGAGCTCCTCGGCGTTAGCCCTTCTTGCGTGGTACTTACTGCTGGATTAAATAATCCTACCTGGGAGGAAGGCGGTTTTAGTGCTCTTGGTTCGTAAACTTTCCCGGGGAGGAGCTGTGCAGCTCCTAACGCGCTGACGAGCCTCTGCCCGGGGGATGCTCGGCTGCCCCCCCAGGCCC